GCCTGGAGGTGAGTGTGCGGTACCGATCACTCGACCAATATCTTATAACGCCTGTAGAATGCCTTCAAGAGCATTCAAATCAGCTGTAAAATGAATTGTTTGCCAGTGAAGTGTCACCAAGAGAGGGAGTTACATGGACAGCAGACACAGATACAGAGAAAGCCTAATCCTATTAGATTTATGATCCCCAAGACTGAAGATCTGAACTCCTGAACTGGACATCTAATGTGACACCAGAGAGCATCCCACATGATTTCCCTTTTTATCAACCACTGTCTGGATGGACACCTTGAGACTGAGATTAAGACTGTTTTGGATTGACACATTAGCCAGGTCAACTGTTGCCTTCAGCAATGCACAAAAGGCACGTGAACTACCAATCAGGAGTCTCCGTTCACTTTCTGTCAGCTTTCTGTTATATAACATTAAAAAAAACAGTCACAGGTAAATTATATTTTTTTATAACTATTCTTTAAAACTCTTATCCTGCTGAGGATATAATGTGTACTTCATATAATTCATTCGTTTTGCTCAGACATAGATGTCACACCGAAGGAAAACCAAGATGTATGAAACATTATTGTGGATTAGAGAGCCATCTTGTGTTCAGAAACGGCATTTCCCCAGGAAAAACTGCTCAGTTGAAATACTTTTCTATTAAAAACTAACCTTTTAGCGAAGCATTGTAAAGTCAATTTAAAACATCTAACTTTATGAATGAGAAAAACAATAAAACGGGATTCAGATGAGAATACGGCGGATCGTGCTTTTATACAGTTAATACATTTAAATTTATTCTCTGTAGAAGAAGTAATTGATTTCACTTTAGTTCTTTAATTACTCATTCCACTATTTACAAAAGGTGTTAGAATATAGTAAGTACATTATATTCTATTGAGCAGCCAACGGTTATTTTCCTCAAAGGCGACACGCCATGAAATTTCATGCACGTTCGCCAAGTTAATTGTTCCCAGGAGTCTCAAAACCCCAAACGTGCAATTACAGTGTGAATAAGGACGTACTCCAGCGATTAGCCCGCATATTAAAACTCAAAGGCAGATCCGCCAGATACTCATTTCACCACGCGATGACTTCTCTGAACCTCACTGTGCCGTTAGCGGTGGACTTTAATGACGCTGCAGATTATTTCATTTTTATAGCAAATCTACTAATCGCGACCAGTGCTGTTCTCGTGGCTGGCTCGGTTGTGTTGGGTATTCTTTGCAAAAAAACACTCCGAGGACAAAACAGGTTTATTTTCATGCTGAACACCAGCATAAGCGACACTCTGTCTGGGTTAGGTGGTTACTACATCGGACTGTTTGATGTTCAGGAGGGTTTTCCTTCCAGAAACGGTACCTATTACATATTGCCTTCGCTACTGGGAGTCAATATTCTGACTATCTTTTTTTCTCAAGTGGATCGATTCCTTGCAGTAGTTTATCCTTATGCTTATAATCGTTTTATAACTAGAACTGTAGTTATAGAAGTTTGCTTTTTCGCTTGGTTTTACACGTACTTAATGCTGACGATTCAGAACCTCGTCACTGTTCAAGTGGCTGCACAAATACGATCATATAGCACTTTGACCTTCCAGGCAATAATAATCCTGAAAGTGCTGTTGAACGTGAAACTCTACCTCATCGCTAAATACCAGATTGCTCGGGACCCGCCGGGTCCAGAGAGAGACAGCAAGAAAGAGTCCCTGAGACTCATCATCGTGGTGGTAGTCTGCTTCCTGGCGCTCTGGACTCCTCGCTTTTACTGCATTATCGTGTTTCAAATGATTCGGTCCAGATACATGTTTGACAACAACGCCAGTGATCCTCTTAGTATGATGTTAAGATTCACTGCAACCTGTACCCCCGGACTGTACATCTGGGGGAGCCCCGCTCTCAGGGAAGCTGTGCTGAAGACCGTGTGGGGGAGAGTCTGTCCTCCACTGAGAAAAAGGTAAGAGAAAAAAGTCCTTAATTGGATATAAAATACTTGATTGATACCTCATAAAATGTTTATGTCTGGATTGCGATATAAATCATTATTGGTATGAATACCATGCAAAATATTTAAATAATAATACTACAAAACTATTTAAAGTAAAAAAACTGTATATTTTGGTGCAAATAATAATCTGTCTCACATTTCGGAACCAAAAGCTCACAAAGCAGAAAACAAACCAACTCGGCAGTCAGTTTTTTTTGGATGAAATGGTTTTTCGGAAAGCAAATACTGTCTCAATCTTTTTAAAATATGCAGACAAAATTCACATAAGGCATATCTAAAAATTAACATCTATTTGGTTTTCCAGGGCCCTCCCAGACTCCACAAGGAAGAGCAAACATTTTAAATGAATACCGGCTGAAAAGAGGGGAACTTAAATCAATCGGCACCGTATTTTACCAGCTTTCAAGATAAAGCATTCAAAACTGAAATGGGTTCTCTTTCACTACGTCGTCAGCTGTGTCTGTACCTTATTTTAATACTTAATTTGATTACTGGTTTAGTCAACAACAAAAAAAAACTTTTCTGTCCAGACTTAAACAGTCCCTTCTTTTTCAATTCCTTTATTTCCTTCCCAATGTTGGAGAGTGACCCTCACACACTGTCAGGACGGGTCAAAACTAACAAGAAGACATGACGTTTTGTTGCTGCTGTTTCATTTCATAACCAGTGCTGGGATTTAATTATTCGAAAACATCAGGCCACTCGTGTTCTCTGAACCCCTCATAAGAGCAATTACTAAACCGGCAAAAATAAGAATTATAAACCCCACATATATTTCTTATTGGATGCAACATGTTTTCAGTCTGATTTGTGTAACTGAATGTATATTTTGAAAGGTTAAAGTTTTTTTTCTGAATGGGACCCTACATTCCTGTTATCAAATGCACGTTTGTCACTAAGTAACTATGATCACATTTTCCTTCCGGTTTCACCTGATCACTGTGGACGTTGTAGACTACTTCAGTATCTTTATAGTTCAATGATTGTTTTAAAATTAAGCTTCCTTGAAAAAAGTCATCAGCCAGTTTTGTAATTAAACTATTAGGTTCAAATAAAGTTTCAGTAAAAGAAGAAACACAGGTTTCCCTGAAGGAGCAAAGCTTTAATTTAATCAGCAGCACTTTACAACCAATTTACAACTCACTCTTCTCTGTGAGCTTCGCTATGTGAGTGTGTGGAATTACATATTGGGCTTCATAACAACCATTTGTTTAGAGAGCCTGTATGTCATCACAGGAAAAGGTAGCATCACCATCATCATCATTACAACCCCAGATTTTAATAGTTAGTCAGGGTGAGCACAGCAAAATACTGAGCAATATATTCAGTATATACAAATAAAACATAGAAGAATCAACAAATACCTTTAAAATGACCAATGCAAGTACTTTATAGCACACATGAAATTATCAATTTAAAGATTTATATCAAATGTGATCATTGTGTTTTAAAATCATTTCTGACTCAGAGTGATGAATAAGTGAGTCAAGAATGCAAGAGCTTCAGAGCCGACATGAGCAGACTCAGGCATCTGACTCCCAGTGCAATCAGGGGCTCTACTAAAACTTTTAAACATGAAATATAAACATTATATTGAACATTTGTAAGACCAATTTCCTTATCAAAAGCAGTAAATTGAGAAGATCGATTTTAACATAGAACAGGACAACTCTAAAGGACAAGGGTAGAGAATAGATTAATCTGAGCAAATAGAACTCTACATTATGCTCAAAGGGGCTGCATTTGTCAAAAACAGTTGATTTGAAGAAATGGGAAACTATCAAAACTTTCTCAAAAGTAGTTTTGCCCTGCGGAAGACGTTTTACCTGCTGTGGCAAATCAAGGCCTCTCTCTCCACAGAGTTCACACCCTGACCTTAGGAAAAGGCCAGACCTGCATGTGCTGACCACAGTGCTCAGACTCCAGGGGTATGAGACAGCCCCCAAGACACAGAGGCACAAGAGTGCTTTAAGATTTATAAATCAGAAAAAAAATCATTTTAATAGCCACTGTAAAATTAACTGATAGCCAAAGAAGTGTCACTGTGTGACAGTCACATGGGCAGGTATGTTATATGTGCTGATGCAGATCCATGGCACAAGAGTCCTGATCTCCTGCTGTCAGTTTTCTCACATCTCCATGGTGACAGTTGACCCCTGACCCAGGATAAACTGATGAAGCTCTGTATCAGGTGTGGGAAGCTGCCTGTACAATCTAATTGGATTGACAAATTAGCCAGGTCAGCTGTTGCTTTTAGTGATATACTAGAGGCACATGGACTGCCCATCAGTCCTCTTTATACGTTCACCTTGTGTCTGTTTTCTGTGAGTAAAGTTCCTTAAAATCTTTCACAACTTTAGGATATTTTTTATAAAGATCGTTTTGGAATTTGAGTAATGATATAATGTGTAATGTTCATCATACGCTTCTCCTGCCCAGATACAGAAGTCTTATACTTGGGGAAACCCAAAGTAAAATAACGTTATTAAGGATTACGGATCCACCATGTATTCAGAATGGACATTTTCTTAGGATTGACAGATCAACTGAAACTGTCTGTTTAGAAACACAACTGATTGAAACAGACCAAGTAATGAAACACTTCAAAGTTGTTTGAATAGCAGTAATCTTTTCATACACACGAGAAAAGCAAAAACAGGATTCCGCATTTTTTTCCAGCGGAGAACACCTTTCCTACTCAGTCATCGTTTGTAAATGCGACATCTTGAGCGTTTCTTCTACTTACAAGCTAATACATTCATCAATCGCCAATTTAACCATTTACGAAAGCTGATAAAACAAATTAAGTAAATTATATTCTGTTGTTTATCCATCTGTTATCCTCCGCGTAAGATTTCACATTCACAACATAATTATTCTCAGGAGGTCAGAAGACCCAAATGTGCAATTACCGTGTCAAAAAGAATCATTTCGTGTCTTCATTTGACCTATTAAAACTCGAAGGCAGGATCGCCAGATACTCATTTTGCTACACCATGATTTCGCTGAACCTCACTGTGCCGTTAGCGGTGGACTTCAATGACGCTGCAGATTATTTAATTTTTATAGCAAATCTACTAATCGCGACCAGTGCTGTTCTCGTGGCTGGCTCGGTTGTGTTGGGTATTATTTGTAAACGATCGCTACGAGCGCAGAACAGGTTTATTTTCATGCTGAACACCAGCGTCAGTGACACTCTGTCTGGGGTAGGCGGTTACTACATCGGACTGTTTGATGTGCAGGAGGGCTATGCGTCCAGTAACGACACCTATTACATAGTGCCTATGCTACTGAGTGTCAATATTATGACCATCTTGTTTTCACAGGTGGACCGATTCCTTGCTGTAGCTTATCCTTTTGTTTACACTCGTTTTATAACTAGAACTGTAGTTATAGAAGTTTGTTTTTTCGCTTGGTTTTACACGTATTTACTTCTGACGATTCTGAACCTCGTTACGTTCGAAGTGGTTACAAAAATACGTGCATATAGCGTTTTGACCTTGCAGGCTATAATAATCGCCAAAGTGCTGTTGAACGTGAAACTCTACCTCATCGCTAAATACCAGATTGCTCGCGAACCGCCGGGTCCAGAGAGAGACAGCAAGAAAGAGTCCCTGAGACTCATCATCGTGGTGGTAGTCTGCTTCCTGGCGCTCTGGAGTCCTCGCTTTTACTACATTATGGTGCTTCAAATGACTGGCTCCAGATACAGGTTTAGAAACTACGCCAACGATCCTTTCAGTATGATGTTAAGATTCACTTCAACTAGTACCCCCGGACTGTACATCTGGGGGAGCCCCGCTCTCAGGGAGGCTGTGCTGAAGACGGTGTGGGGGAGAGTCTGTCCCCCATTAAAAAAAAGGTAAGAACTCCAGCAAGAAAAGAAAAAAATACAAGCTAAACCGTATGAAAATAAAATTGTTTGATAGGTCCCTAATTTGCGCTTTTTCCTCCAAGATAACATTTTATGTTTGGATTGTGTCATAAATAATCAAAGGATTTATATATATATACAGATCTCCAGGCAAGACAACAGTTGAAATAAATCAAATCACCTGTACATTCGTTTTGTGAAAACAATAAGCTGTCTCAGTTTCAATTTTTTAAAACTGAATAGTCACAATGGAGAAAAAACAATTCGGCCGTTCATTTTTTGTTGAAATGGCTATTCTGAATGCAAACCCTCTCCCACACTCATAATAAATGACGAAAACTGAATTGCTTTAAGACAAAATCTAAAATTAATTTTTCTTTGCTTTTCCAGGCTCGTCTCAGACTACGAAAGAAAGTCCAATCATTCCGAAGGAATACCGTGTGTGACCAAGGTGAACTGAAAACAGCAGGCACCATGTTTTAAGATCTTCCTAGACTCAGGAAAACTGAAAAAGGCTACTTTTCATTATTTCACCAGCTGTGTCTCTGCTTTATTTTAACACTATATTGGATTAAAATGTTTAAAATATTAGACTACGAAACGGAAAAAACATGTTTTCTAAATTCAAAAAATATAACGCAAACATGGAAAGTAAGGAATCTTGCACGCCACATTTTATTCGAGTAGAAAGTCTACAGTTTTGACTTTTTAACAAAATTTACACAAACAAAATGCAGCTTCTATTTAATTTCTGCCACTCATTTTTCAAATCTGAAGTCTTTTCTGTCCAGAATCCCTTTATTTTCTTCCTAATGTTTGAGAGTAACTTCACAAAGTGCCAACAGGGGTCAAGAATAACACAAAGAAATGACATTTTGTTTTGTTGCTGTTGTTTAATTTCAGAATTAGTGCTGGAATTGAATTATTTCAAAACATCATACCACTTGTGTTCTCTGAATCCCTGATATGAGCAACTATCAAATCACACAAAGAGGCAAAAATAAATACTATATATCCTATGTATATTTCTTATTGGATGCAACCGTCTGATAAAGAGTTTTAGTCTGATTTGTGTAACAGAATGTATATACTGAATGGTTAAAGGTTTTTCTGAATGGGACACTGCATTCCTGTTATCAAGTGTACGCCTGTCACTAAGCAACTAGAATTCAATTTTCCTTCAGGTTTCACCTGATCGCTGTGGACATGTAACTTCTCTAATTGTTTTAACATGAACCGTCCTGGGACAAAGGCATCAGCCACTTTTAATAACTATTTCAATAGGGTCAAATAAGGTTTCATTGAATGAGCAAAGCTCTGGGTTCCTGAATTGATCAGCAGCCCTTTACAATCATGTTATACTGTAGCTCACTCTGCACTGCCTGCTCTGTGAGCTTCTCTATGTGAATGTGAGTGTGTGGATTTACAACCATTATTAACAACCAGTTATTTAGAGAGTCTGGGTGCCATCACAGGAAAAGGTAGCATCACCATTATCATCATTACAACCCCAGATATTAACAGCAAAATACTGAGCAATATTCAGTATATACAAATAAAAGACAGAAGAATCAACAAATACCTTTAAAATGATCAATGCAAGTCATTCATGTATTTTACAGTGCACATTACATGATTAAAGATTTATATGAAATCTAATCCTTGAGCATTTTGATTTTAAATTTCCTTTCTGACTCAGAGTGATGAATAAGTGAGTCAAGAATGCAAGAGCTTCAGAGCCAACATGAACAGACTCAAACATCTGACCTGAACTCCCAGTGCAATCAGGGGCTCTACTAAAACATTTAAACATGAAAGATAAATATTATATTGAACATAATGTCACGCCCTCTGCAGCCAGAGGGCGCTCCTTCTCTGTCCTGTCCCTAGTTTCCGGTCTG